TGACAAAAATGGGCCTGTCTTCACGGAAAACTAGCTGTTTTTTGCTTGTTTTTGCCCCCCCCCCCGGAGAACTCTACAAGTTGCCTAAGGGCTAATCATGCCTCCCCTTTTTTGAAAATAAAAGGCGTTTTGGGGAGGTTTGCAGAGTGCATTTTTTTTTTTTTTAATTTGCCTCTTTGAAACCTGGGTGCATCTTATACTCTGGTGCGTCTTTTCCTCTGAAAAATACGGTAGTTGGTGGAGACGCTTGGAAAAAGGGGATCCCTTATGGATCCCAAGGCATCTAGGGCTTTATAATAATAACAATTGTATTTTTAATAGAACAGCATTTGTAAAAGGAGGTGAAGAGAGCTGACTTTAGGGCAGTTTTGTTTTTTACAAAGTACTTTTTTTTTTGGGAAAAACATTGGATTCCTAAAAACTACTGATACACATTTTTCTCGTTCCCAAACTGAAATAAGACATTGTAAGGTTCCAGAAACAAAGTGAACTTGTGGGAAGAGTTGCATAGCATAAGATGCATAAGAGATGCATAATGGCAACAAAAACAAAACATTTCTGTTTTGTTGTCTGGCTGGTGGGTTGTGTTATGTACTGACCTTTTTATGAAAAGTGGCCACAAGTTGTGCATACTTGAAGTTGTCAAAGACAGGAAACGTAATTTTGCAATTTTGGCCAACACGTCCTGCAATTTTGGTTTTCTCATAATGTCTTGCTGCCTGTGTTTTTCAGTTTAAGTGCTGCGGCAGTCATAATTATACAGACTGGAGAGAAAGCTATTGGTTCGGAGTTGAAACGGAAGGAAGGAAGGTCCCGGATAGCTGCTGTAAGACGATGACCCATGCATGTGGTAAAAGAGATCATCCTTCAAATATCTACAAAGAGGTAAAAAAAAATAAAGTAAAAAGAAATCAAACAAAACAGAGCCCTCTCCAGTTATTATTGTGTTACAAAAACACTGAGGAGACCGTTGATTGATGCTGCTCTTAGATCAATCATACCTTGGTGATTATGCATTTGAACATCATAACAACTGCCATGTAGAATTACAGTACAGGTAGTCCTCGATTTAGGATGGTTTATTTTGTGACCGTTCAAAGTTACAACGGCACTGAAAAAAGTGACTTATGACTGTTTTTCGCAGTTACAACCTTTGCCGCACCCCCATGATCATGTGATCAAAATTCAGATGCTGTGCAACTGGTTCATATTTATGACCGTTGCTTTGTCCCCAGATGACGCGATCCCCTTTTGCGACTTTCTGACAAGCAAAGTCAATGGGGAAGCCAGATTCACTTAACATCCGGGTTATTAACTTATCAACTGCAGTGATTCACTTAGCAACGGTGGCAAGAAAGGTCGTAAAATGGGACAAAACTCACTTAAATGTCTCACTTTACATACATTTTGGGCTCCATTGTGGTCGTAACTTGAAGACTCTCTGTATTTATCCTGATTATATTGTTCTAGAGAAGTAAATGTAAGCAAATAGATACTTACATTCCTTAGCAGGACTGGCCCTACTCTTCTTGGCATACAAGGCCAAGAAGTTTAGCCTAGCTAGGCAGCTGTACCTCTCTGATCTTCACTAAGCCAGTATGGTTAGTATTTGAAGGGGACACCCAACAGGGAAGGCCAGGACTATATGTTAGGAATGGGAGAAACATTCTGGAAGAAAACAGTGGTAACCTACTTTTGTTATTAAGAAAACAAATGGGAATATCTGAAACTGAATTTGCCCTAAAGAGTATTTTTCGTCTGTTTTATTGTGCATATAAGCTTTTCAGTATGAAGAATAGAGAAGTATATATATATATTAAAGTGCTCATTTCTACTCCAATCCTTTAGAATTGATTTAGGTGCAAAATTCAATTTTTTTTTACCGAGCTGGTTGATGCTTTTAGCCTCTAGGATACTTTGCTGGATGATGATGAAGCAGTCCCTTTCAGTGGGGCTCAGGGAAGGATTAAGGGATATGAAGGCACATGAATAACTTCTGCAACTAAGCTTGTTTGGTCATGCAGAAGCAGACCAAACTCTGCCCCAGGACACAACTGCTGACTGCTGTATCTGGGGGACCTTTTTTTTTAGCCCCTTATCTAAAATGTTGTGGAAAAGAGGCTCTTCTGAAAGAAAATCCCATCACAATTATCTGAATTTTCCCTATATTTTTCCCTGTATATTTCCCCTTTCTTTTTGTCTTTGTTTCTAAATTTTCCTTCTATCATTGCTGCTGTATAATTTTAAAAAAATAACTAAGAGGGCTGGACTACTTTTAAAGACTAGCCAGTTTATTATTGTATAAGCTTTCATGGATTGCAAATTACTTCTTCCCAATTCACGAAAGTTTAGATGGTGGTAATAATAAAATGGGCTATTTTTAAGTTGTCACGAGGCACTGGCTTATTTTTGCTCCAAATGCTCAACCGAGCAACTCTACACAAATAAGTAAATAAGTAATGTTCCCAAAGACTTAGAAACAATAAGGAACCATTTCCTCTTGATGAGATTTCCTTCCAGCCAGTATTTGAATCTGACCTGCCATAAATAGGTTGAGAAAGTCTACTTTGGCGGTTATACTACTTAATTTATTCCGCTGCAGTTGTTTAGCCCTGGGAGGCAATTGATAAAGAGGTTAAGGTGGAAAGGAACAATTCATGACTCCTGTCATAAACATAATCACTTGTTTTTATCTCTGCAAGAATTAGATTGTAAGAAACATGAGGCTAAATAGCCAGTGGGTTTGAGGGCATCTAGCAGCTTCATGGCCAAAGAAGGATCTGACCTTAGATCATCTCAGCATATTTCTTGCTGGCTCAGTTTTAAAATCATGGGATGTACCTTATATCACTAGTGGGGTGTATGAGTATGAAATGAATAGAGAATGTTCGGACATCCCCAGTTGTCTGTAAAGACAAAAAATGCTTGGAGTATAATATGCAACCACTTATCCGGATAATAGTTCTATGTCTGCAAGATCTTGGAAGATCTGAAGGAGAAGCAGGTAAGACATCAAATGTAATATTTTCCAGAAATGCTAGGCTTCGCTGATCCCAAATTATGTATCAAGCTTTGTTAGGGTTATACTCCTGGTTCTTCTTCTTCTTCTTGTGCCATTATCTGTCATCAGGCACTGGCAATCATTTTGGCCATCCTATTTTTATCCACATGAAAAAGTGCTGTTGAGTGTTTCCAAACCCAGTCCCTTAGATTTTGAAGCCATGATGTTCATCTTCTGCCTCGATCTCATTTGCCTTCAATCTTTCCCTGGAGGATTAAGTGAAGTATGCCTTATTTTTCTGGGTGTCACATCACAGGTCCAAAATATTCTAACTTTCATTTTTTTATGGTTTTGATGATTTTCCTTGGCTTTCCCAATACTCATTGTTGAACCTCCTTAAAAACTTACTCGATACAAGGCTGTATAGCTTATCAGGAGATGGGGATGATTCTCAAGCTGATGACAGTTTTGCCACAAGTATCAACCTGTGTTTTACCTCATCCATTCCTATGTTTGTGCCTTGAAGGATGTGACATCGTACAGCATGGGAAGATAAAACCGGCTTAAGAAGATGGGTATGAAAAGTAACATCATCTCAATATTTTATTCCCAGGGTGGCTGTATCACTAAGCTGGGGAACTTCATTCAGGAACACTTGATAATTATTGGAGCGGTGGGACTCAGCATTGCATTTGTACAGGTATGTAACCAGCAAGGACTGAATTATGCCTTCTCAGAGTTTGACAGGCCAGTTGGAAAGGCAACTTTGCCGTGGTTGTTGGTAATTGGAAGGCTGTAACCAAAATTGATACTATAAGACGCTCAGTGTTCCAGTTAATTGAAGTAGGAGTAAGAGGTTTTTACTAAACTAGAACCTTGCTGAAGATGGCATGGTAATAAAAGGAAATCTTACTTATTCTCCTGCCTTAGAAATAAACCTGAATAAAAAAATACTTTTCAAGTACCATCTTCTCTAATGAATTTGATAAAATTCCAAGGAGAAGCTAACATGGAATCTTATATTTCTCTCAAAGGTATTTTTTTTAAGCCTAAGTAAAAAAATTCAGAATGACAGTCAATTTAGAGTTCTGTCGTTATGTGTGTCATAAAACCAAGATTTAAGTGAGAGAAAGCTTATAGACGTATTATATTGTGTTAATTTTACAGTTTTATTATGGTTTTGGTGGTGTTTTTCATTTTTTTTATTGGAGCTACCCAGAACTAGATATAAGATGGGAGGATATATAAATGTTTTGAATAAATAAATATTTTTAAATATTTTAAATAAATGAACTACAGGATTCATTGTGGCTTTTATGTATACCTCAACTAAAACAGTATATGTTTTAACAGTTAATACGTTGTTTTCATCCATCATGGCTATCACCTTTGTTTTTAGGGTTTGTGGGGCCAAAATGTAATAAATTATGGGTATTTATTTATTTANGTTGTGAATGCTCCAACACTGGAAGTTTTTAAGAAAATGTTGGAGAACTATTTGTCTGAGGTGGTGTAGAGTTTCCAGCTTAAGCAGAGGGTTGGACTAGAAGACCCCCAAGGTCTCTTCCAACTTTGTTATTCTATTCTATCCTATTCCTATTCCAACAGATTGCTGCCTAACAGTATAATAGAAAAGGGAATAAGCTGCTCTGAACGTGCTCAGAGATAATACATATATGTGTTCTGGATTCATGCCACAAACTGGAAACTTGGGATACTTCTGTGTAATCATGATATCAGATGGAAAAAGACTGTACAAGGAAGGGAGGAGACTCCCTTTGACCGCAATTGAACAGAAATGCTTGAGCATGCCATGTCTCTACAGGGAATTACATTTTTTCAGCAATGGTTCTTCCACACCCAGCTGATGTATCATACACTTGCAGGGAGGGTAGCTTGATATAGTGAGAACAACTAAAGTGATTTATTTATTGATTGAACAAACAGTGGAAGCCAGCATATGTCCATGAATACGAAGCAAAAGCGGCACAACCCAGCATGGCTTTATATTTAACAGTAGGAGCTAATTACTGAAAAAGACTCCTAATATTCGGTATTTGTATCAAGTTCACGACTTCATTAGTTCCAGATATTCCTCCACAGCAGGGGTGTCAAACTCGTGTCGTCACGTTGGTGTCACATGATGTATCGAGACTTTCCCCCACTTCGCTAAAACGGGGTGGGTGTGGCCAGCACGTGATGCATCCGGCCCATGGGCTGCGAGTTTAACACCCCTGCTCTACTGAGATGAAGTATTCAGCGCCAGAGGGAGGTTCAGTCTTCTCCTTACATCTCCCTCAGAGAGTGTTTGTTTGTTTCTTCAAATTCTATGGCCGCCCTTCTCCATCACTGGGCAGTGACTGAAAATATATTACAATTAAACATTTAAAAACATTTTAAAGCAATACAAACAGTGAAATCAGTTAAAACATTTACAACTTCTAATTCAAGATACACAAGAGCAAGTTATTTGGCCCGTGAGCAGTATAGCCAGGAAACGGAGCCCTTGACATATTCAGCGTCCCAGGATTTGGAACACAGGCAGGTTTTAAAGGCCTTACATAAGACTAAAAGGGCTGGGGCCATTCTGATCTCCGAAGGGAGGATGCTCCATAGAGTAGGGGCCACTGAGGAAAAAGCCCATCTTCTAGTCCCCATTACCCAACATTCTTTGGCTGATTGCAGCATGTACATTCTGCTTAACTTACCATATTTTTCTCAGTATAACACACACCTTTTACCCTCAAAAAAGAGGCTGAAAATCTGGGTGCGTCTTATACACTGAATACAGCATTTTTTGCCTCCCGAAACCCTGCCCCCTTCACCAAAATGACTGTGCATAGCTTGTAGGAGGCTTTCAGAGAGCTCCTGGGGGCTGGGGAGGGCAGAAATGAGCAAAAAATGGGCCTTTTTTGCTCAATTTTGCCCCCCACCAGCCCCCAGGA